TTTTGAACCGGTCGTGGGCCTCCTCTAGGTCGACTCAGCCTGGTGCGGTGTGTAAACATCGCACTAGGGAGGCAAAGGCGGCCGGGCGTGATGCTGGCGAACCACCCCCTTGTGTTCCGTACTGGTCTTCATAGGTGCTCGCTAACAGCGCTTGCCCCAACAGTCTGTTAAAGCTATACGGGGGATCTTTGTGTTTGTGTGTTCATGCGTGTGTGTACACACACATGAACGTGTATATCTACTTGCAGGCGCCTTGTGTGTATAGCGGGAGTGGTGGCACAGTGGTTAGCGGGCTGCAATATAAACTCGGTGACCCTCGCTCGATTCCCCCTCACAGCGTCGATTATCTGAACCGTTCCTGGGCCTCCCGTAGGTCCGCTCAGCCTCAAATGATGCGTTGTGTAAACATCGCCACGAGAGAGACAAAGGCGGTCCGGGGCATTGTATACCGTGCCGACCTTCATAGGTGCTGCTCGCTAACAGCACTTGCCTCGAAAGTCCATTGAGGCTCCGAGGAGGATCTGTGTCTTTGTCTCGCGTGTAGACCTCCACGTCAAAGGAAATGCAATGAAAAATAAAAACCGTGTCGCTTCATTTTTGTTTTGTTTACCACCACCTCACCGTTATTTCTTGCTCCCTCTTAGGAGACGTCTTTCTTGGTCACTCTCGTGGAAAATCACGATATTGTCGGGAGGGCCCGCTCCAAATGGAGGCTACCCGCCCTGCCGTGTGCGCTGAAGAGCCTTTGCGCATTAATGCGGGCACTAACCCCGGGCCGCGCAATGTTTATAGGCTCCCGGTGTCACGAATGAAAGCCGCGTTGTGTCGGTGTGACCTTTCCTGCTAAATAGGCCTGGTTGTGGATGAGCCACAAAGCCTTGTAAAGAGGGGGGCCTTTGGGGGGAACAGCTGAGGGCCAACTCTCACATCAAGCATCGTTCCTCCCGCCCCATCTCCATCGCTGGCGGCAGCGGCAATTCTGCATTCCCGCTTCAAGAGTCATCGTCAAAATGCCTCAACGAGCGAACAGCACCTGTCTCTCTGGGCAAAGGTTGCTGTCAATAAAAACAAACCTAAAATATCCGACATCCGTTTTTTTTTAAAACGTGTAGTTTACAAGATATATATGCACAACACCCACAGCGCGCGCACATAAAACATAATGCTGCACGTCTTTGTTACTATTGTAATTCTAATGGACAACGACAAATGACCCCATCAGCCAGAGAGACATTGACATTGCAAATGAAGAGCTGAATTGTAACTGCGTGCCCCTGGGTTATGTGCATTGAGGCTTTGAACAGGGTTTCACCCAGAGCAATGACCCCCAGGCTGGGCATTGAAATATTGCCAAAAAGACATTCTAGAATTGTCAAATTTAGCAATCTAGTAATTGTGGGTAATTGTCCAAATGTGTATTCATGACAATGTGACTCAATAGCTGCCTCTAGTGAAATAATGCCACTATTTATTTTTCTGTCTTTAACATTGAGCAATGGTATTTTTGTCTGTTAATGTCCCTTCATCATTCACAGAGGGCTGCGGTGGTGTATACATGTGTACGTACGTGTATGTTTGGCAATAAATATATGTGCACCAGAGTTATAGACAAAGATCCATCCTTCAGTCTTGCAGGCGACTATTGGGGTAAAGCTGTTAGCGAGCGCCTATTGGCGCACGAAGGAGTTGTCTGTGACTAGACTCACTTTTGGCCACGTTGGCCATGCAAGGGGCTGTGTGGTGATCATCCCTTCGCAGCAGGAATTCACGTGAGCCCGATATGATTCCAGTGAGACCCAGGACCGGTTCTGATTGTAATTCCTGAAGGAGCTCCCCCGGCACTCAGAGAAAAAACGTCGGACATTATGCAGAACAACCCCAAAAAAATGCATCGGACAGTTACGTAGGAGCGTAATCGTGAAGAGTCTGTGCTGTGAGAGGACTGATCCCCAGACCACAACAGCTGGAAGGACAGTCTACAGATGATGACTGAAATTTACCTTTTTGTTATACTCATTCCCTCCCACAGCACTCCGCAGTGTGCACTGCGGCAGATGTTTAATGGGTCGCGTGACTGATTTTCGTGTGTGCATCTCCTGTAGCAAGGACTATGAGGTTATTAGGAGTCCGTGCACCTGCCTGGGGGCATTTATGGGACAGGAGAAGGTGAAATGAGTGGCAGTGGAGGTGGCTGTTTCATGCGGTTCTCCACCCATTTCGATTACAGGCTGCCACCGGCTCTCCAGCGGAATCGAGCAAAATGAAATGACCATTAAAAAAAACAAGCGGCGGCGGGAGGCACGACAGCATGTGTGACTTTTGGACGTCAGAATTCGAGTGTTTTTGAATCGGCGTGATTGTCTTGGCGAGCGATTCACGCACGAAGCAACGCAGATAGCCAGAACGGAAGAAAAAAACAAGCACAAGGATATCATGAAAATAACCCCCCCCACCATCACCCCCCCCCCCCACCACCATCACCCCCCCCACCACCATCACCCCCACCACCTCCCCCCCCCACCACCTCCCCCCCCACCACCATCACCCCCCCCACCACCATCACCCCCCCCACCACCATCACCCCCCCCACCACCATCACCCCCACCACCACCATCACCCCCCCCCACCACCTTCAACCCACCACCATCACCCCCCCCACCACCATCACCCCCCCCCACCATCACCCCCTCCCCCACCACCATCACCCCACCACCATCACCCCCCCCCCCCACTACCATCACCCCCCCCACTACCATCACCCCCCCCACTACCATCACCCCCCCCCACCACCATCACCCCCCCCCCACCAACACCCCCCCCCCCCACCACCATCACCTCACCACCATCACCCCTCCCCCCACCACCATCGCCCGCCGCGCCTCCCATCCTATTACCCGGAGACACGCCGCTTTGAATCGGCACTGCGGTGCGACTCGGCACAAGCGTGTGGTCAATTACCGCCCACCAGCAGCACTCCGGCTCGAGTCCCGTCGAGGGTGGTGAACACAGCAGCTGAGCTGCTCGGTTGATCGTTGCAAGGCACAGCATCATTCATGATAATGATACTGATGAAGCATCATTCGAGTTAGTGCACTCGAGACGACATCTCCAAATTAAGAGTCCACGGCCGGCCAGTAATTAAAATATGAAAAGGACAATCTGTCCTTTACACGGGGATGTGATTTGACAACACGAAGGGATTTCGTTTGCAGCGGTTGTGCGGCGTGTCTGTGAGCGTTAAGAAGTGACGGCAGCCTATTGATTGGCATGGAACCCAAGGTAAGAGGGGCAGAGGGTTTGTTTGTTTTGAGCATGTGGGTGAGCGTACAATGTACATGCAAGCATGACCGCTTGAATCATCGTATTTGGTTTTTTTTTTTATCATGGGAACGCAAATACACTGCGCGCTATTCAAGCAAAGTTATTACAGAAAAAAAGAGATTTGAGAAACTATTCATACCTACGTTGACATCAAAAAGCTGCTGCTCAGCACAAACACAGGTGAAAGGGACTGAGAAGCAATACAGACAGCCCACGCCGTTCTCATTACAGAGTAGTGATTATCAGCGTAATACACGGCCACTAGAGAACAGGTTACGCATATCCATAACAATCCTAAATTCGTGTACCCTCGATTGATATACCCTATGCTTGCTATGTTCTGTCATCCCATGACACCGCAGTATTATGATGACAATGGTAAGGAGAGATGATGGATGTGGCACGCCAAAATTATTGCCGAAACATTCCAAACTCTTCGGGATAAAATGAAATACTTACATATATGGCATCACACAATGCGGGTCCATGCCAAGCAAACTTCACAGTCACAGAAAAAAACTCGTTTCTACAATTCATGAAGAGTACAGAGTGGACGCTTGTGCTAAACTATTATTATTAATTTGACCCAGACGAATGACTAATGCTAGGGCATTAGCTTCTTATCATCTTGGGAGATGCACTGCGATCATAGCAACAAACAACAACCTCATGCTGGCCTCTAACTGGCGGTGACATCACCACCACAGTGATGCCGCTGCTTGTGCCAGGCTAAGTGCACTTTGTGATCTTAGCAGTCCAAATCCCCAACACAGCCCCTGGCAAGGTGCCCTCCACACATGTCTAATTTGTTCAGCATCACTCCGAGCGAGGCCTCGTGGGGGCCTCTCCACAAGTCACCTTTTTGTTGTCCGTTTGAACGCGGAGCTAATTGAGACCGCGAGCTCGAGTGGGCACTCTGCGTAGAGCAGAGAGCAAAAGTGCCGGCGGTAGCAGTGGTGGTGGTGGTGGAGGGTGAGGACACAGAGACAGAGAATTATACAAGCAGCGGCCATGCAGCTTTCTCGGGGACAACATTTTCCCATGAGCAGCCACTGCTTAGCTCTGTGTTGTTCAGCCGATAGTCACACCCACTCAGCCACTAAGCACGTGCGCCCATTCGAGGACAGTTGTAAATTTGTTTTCAAACAAAACACATGTGTTTATTCTAGATTTTAAACTTTCGTGACTGCAAGGATTCATACTCTTACGTTTTTTCGGTAAAGTCACGTAGGTAAAAAAATGAAATTAAAATTAATAATATAAAGTAATACAAATTTTTATTTTATTTTTTTACCTACATGACTTTACCGAAAAAACTAAGAGTACAACAGATGTGATCATTTGTGTGTGTGGGGAGCGGTACCGGGGAGCGGTAGTGTAGCGGGTTGGCGCGCTGCGCTTTGAACCCGGCGACCCGAGTTCGCTTGCCACTCAGGACCAACACCGGGTCACGATTATCTGAACCTGTCATGGGCCTCGTCTGCAAAGACGGATAGACGTGGTGCCGCCCACCAACCCTTACGTGCCGGCCTTCACAAGAGCTCGCGAACAGCACTTGCCCCAACAGTCTGTCGAGGCTATACGGGGGAATCTTCATCATTTTGCGTGTACCATTTATTTTTATACTGCATTTGGTTTTAAGAAGCGTGCATAGTGTGTGTGTGTCTTTTTTTACGCACGTTATGCCGGTGGCAGTAGGCTACCGCTTGCAGGATCTGCCAGATGTAGCTCTTCACTTGGGATTCAGGAATCCTACAGGGACGGACAGTTCCAGCCAACACAGCATTACAGTGTCATCATCATTGTCGTCGTCATTGTCAACATCATGATCATAATAGCAAAGTGATAATCAGGTGTCTAACAATGGAAACGTTATTAAAATGTATTCTTACTCTCCCAATACATGCATCAAATCATGCGATTGAGTATTTATATGTTTGAATAAAATATTAATTCACAGCCCTTTGTCAATCCACTGCTGGATCAAAGCCCCTCCACATCGGGGTTTGTTTGACCATACATCACCGCGAACCTCGCGACCGCGTGTCAATTTCAGAACCGGAATCTTGATTTATACGGCAGGAATCTGATCAGCTATAAAGCTCTTTTTCACAGATGTCCAGTGTTTGTGAACACTGAGAACACTTTATAAGAAACCCCAATGTGTCCATCCGCTGGCAAGTCAGACGGTCTCACCTCTCACTTGAGCCGTTCTCATCGTACAGAGTTACAATGGTGAATTCATTTTTGGCCAAAAGAATGCAGCAACAAACGGTGCGGATGATGAGCTGTGCCTGATCTATCCCCTCAACTCGATAATCTTGGGGTTATAGAGATTGTCTAAGACGTGTCTGTACGTACGTGTGTATGTTGAACTTCTTTTGCACCGTATGTAACCGACCGTGTTAATCGGAGGTGTGTGGGCTAAACTCTCTTTCGCAAGTCCTCTATATGTCGGAGTAGAGAGGTCAGGGTGGAATGATGCAGGGCTAACATGACAACATGATATGTACAGTTCGGTTTTATTGGTCTGAATTGTCACATTTTCATATTTGGTCTTTCGAAATTGTGAGGTGTCAGAAATTAGAATATCCTTTGTTTAATCCAAACAAGAGACATTGACACTGATGTTTAAATGTACTGCTTTTAATAACGACTCACCCCGCAGAGAGTCAAATTACGTTTCTTACATTCTAGACTTTAACTTTTAAAAAAAGATTAATCCCAGCCATCGGAGGGGCTGGTACCACCCTCTTAAGAATACAACAGGACTTAAATCTACTATTGAATTAATTTAACTTCAGCCACAATACCATATTTTTTTTAAATTTGCTGTTTTATATTGCTCTGCCAAAGCATAAATGTTTAATAGCCTCCCATAAAACACACATATGCTTGAAAATATCCCTGAGTTATATGGACAAATATTTGTTTTTCCATTTGGCTTAGGCACTAATCAAAGGGTTGACATGACCAGCCGGAATCACTGCATTATTTGTGCCGTGACGGATCAGGTTGCCGACACATTCGTATTATAAATAAGATCCAGGCTAAGTGTAACCGTAACCGGACGACATGCATTCAGTTCGATCTATATTTGCACACGTGTTAACCTGGGTGACTCACTGCACACAAACTGTGCCAATATATATTTAACCGTGACACCGGCAATCTATGGGTGAACGGGCTTTCCGATGTAAATAGCCTTGCGCTTGGGGCTACAGTGACATACACGGCTGGATAGTACCCTAAGAACCAAGAGACAGCGGGCACCACCCAACAGCGGGGTTTTACCAGCGTGGGCCATCGTAATCACGGGACTTTTTGTTCCAATAAAGGCGGTTTGATTGTCAGAAGTCTCCCATCCCCCGTGTTCGCGAAGGTGGCAGGGTCCAGTTGCGGCAGGCATTGAGACGTGTCAGTTCGGTAATTGAGTAATTGTGAGTGATCCTGCAAATTCGGCTGCGACCCTGGCTCACAATGGGGCTGCTCCGGGTGAGCGGTGTGATGTGTCTTGCAATGAGGACGCGCGCGCACGCAGACGTAACGCAGAACTGTATCTCAAGGTGAATGCTTCATGGACAAACGGATGAAAGGAGGCGGAGGCCAATTGCTCAGCTTTGCGCTCTCTCTCTCTCTCTCTCAGGACACACGCTGGAGTGAAATTGAAGGGGAATGAAAGGTACAATCGACATGGAGGCGTTTCGCGGGGGGGGGGGGGGGGTCGTGAACTTTCTCCGCTACACAGAGGGGGTCACGTCTCGCTGCCGAGGTCAAGACGGGAATGGGCCCAGGTTTGACATTGCCTGGGAGTGAGCCATTGCTCAATGCAGAGTACATACGATGCAAACATTATTCTTGTAGACAAATATCACTTTTTCAATCGTTTTCAATCCACTGCTAAATGAGCGCCTTCCCCCAATTCGCGTGACGTCTTTCACCACACTGGTCAGAGCAGGTTTGTAAACAGGATGGCCAGCTACTGGTTCAGCCATGCACCCATGTTAACCAATGGTATCATCAGTCAGCACTAACTACTGCGCCACTGCTCTTTCAAGAAAAACACAGAAACGTAGAACTGTAAAAACTATATACGTGCACAAAGCATACAATGATATATATCATCGCATCAATTACCAACGACACTCACGCTCATACGACATGCGTATGTGTAAGAATCGCTGTACAAATGAAACAGAGGAAAATAAGAAACAGCATAAACGAGACCGTGAGTAACTTGAATGTGAAAATGAGACTTCGCGTTGAGTCGATCCATTCGGATTGCTCGAGAGAGCGAACGGATTTGCCATGCGACGTGCCCTGCGCTCACTCGTCAATGTGCCGGATCCACATCACTCGTCTGAGACCGGTTCTCGGCAAAGGTGCACCCAACAATTTCTTATCCTTGTTATATAATTAGATGGCAAGGGGCGTGCAAGGGCCGAGGAATGAGTGACCATAACACAGCGCACGTAGGAGTCACGAAAGGGCTATAGGGGAGGGATGGGAATGAGTGGAGGGATGAGGGGAGGGGAGGGCAGAGGAAGGGATTGGGCAATGGAGAAGAGAAGTGGTAGCTGACGACACTGGCCCTGTAGTTTTGTGTCAGCAATTACACACCCAGGTTCAATCCCCTCTTCTCTGTGGAAAGAATTTTTTTTTGCAGAGCGAACCTGAGCGACGTATATCGGGCACGTGAGTGAACGCGATCTCGCTGCGCGTGTGGCAGGCAGAGCGGACGTGCACGAGTGGCGGGCCCCGATAGCAGCGCACAGCAAAACGCGCGGGGATCAACCCCCGCATGGCATTCCGCTCCGCAGACGCGTCGTTATGGTGTCGTCTCTCGTGAGGCTTCTGCACTTATTCAGCTCCCGGCGATAAAGAAAACCCCGCGACCGTTGAATGCTGTGAGTGCTAAAAGCATATTTAACCCGACACAAAACCCCTCCACCACAAGCCGCACGTATCCCTCCGTAGCAACAAGGCAGCGTGTGCGCATCGGTGGGCGCAGGTGGGTGCAGGTGTGCGTGTGTGTGTGCATCGACAAAAATTGATTTTGCAAATGATTGGGGATGAGGTGTAATAATAACAATATTAATTAAATATTTCTACATACTCATACAGATTTGTTTTGATGGCGCTGAGACCGGCTCGCCGTGGCCTCGTGGGCACCGCTGCGTGACGCACGCACTGCGAGTGCCACGCTCATCAAGCAAATGCATTGCCTCTGCTGCTGCTGCTACTGCTGTTGTTGCTTACACAAAAACCATGTTGTGCTTTTCATAAAGAGAGAAGACCAGGGTTGTTTTGCGTTATTTCGTACATGATGGCAATTGCTGATCACCACCGACAAGACATTGCCTCCGTGCAACTCTACAAGGCATTTTTCTGTGGGGAAATTGACCTTTTTTTGTATTAAAATACCGCCTCTTAAAATTAGACGAAGGCTGTCTGCAATTGTCCCAATGTTCATGTTTCAATTGGGCATGTAAACAATTCGGACAAGGGCAACGGTATGCATCGTCATGTTACGCAGATAATTCTCGAAAAAATATAAATTCCCAAAGATTAGAAATTACCCGAGCCAGCAACGCCTGCTCACACATTGGCTCCAGAGGTGGTGCGCACGGGTACGTCTGTAACCGTTCATGTGTGTGTGTCACTATATCGCTCGTACTCGCAATATCTCCCACGAATATCGCTCTTCGTGTTTTTAATGAAGAAACTCCCTTTGCGGATTTACGTTTGCACGTGTCGTGCATTTTTTTTAAATAAAATGGGTATTCACCTCCGATTAGCACGGTTGGCTATGTGCGGTCCGAAAGAAGTTCAACATACATCTACATACATGTGCATTCATCTGCTTCGTCACCAGTGTAGCATTGACGTTCCCCGAGCACATTTGAAGTTGAACCTGCACAGAATCCAGCTGCAACGCACCTCTGTCCGCCAACCCCCCGCCCTGCCCCCACCCTCCCATCCCCTGAAGGTTTCTGCACTCACCCCGCTGGACGAGACTGCTGGCATGGAGAGAGAGAGAGACGAGCGAGCTTGAGGCAGGGTGCATGCATGTCTGTTGACGTTTGGGGTGCCGCGGTGGCGAGATGTTAACTACCTCGCCTTGTATGCAGGAGGTCAGGGGTTCGATCCCGACCCTGACTCCTGTACATTTGGAGTTTGCGTGTTTTCTCTTCCCGTGGTCGCGTGGATTTCCATCAGGGTCCTCCGGTTTTTACCCTCCACATTTAAAATCGACGTAACGCATTCCGAGCATTTGGCTGCTATAAAAGTCCACGTGGTAAGCCATTTAATCAGTCAGTGCTTTCGCAACCGCACGTAGCCAGCCGTGCCAATGTGAGGTGCAATGGAGTGCGGGCAGCGGGGTCTGCGCTCGTACCCGTGTGGGTAGCGGTGCAGCTCGTTGAGCACCGTGTGGTCGCAGAACTCGAAGACGAGGTGCAGCCGGCGCTTCCTGCGGAACACCTCCAGCATGTTCACCAGGTTGGGGTGCTTCAGGGTCTGTCGTAGAGGCACACCCCACAGGACAGGACCCCGTTAGATAAATCCACGCGTCGCAACGTGAAACATTTCCCATGCGATGGTCAGGGTGCTTGGTTCCGGTGTGTGTGCGTGTACGTGTCCGTGACTTGTGCATGTGAACAAGGGTTTCTCTTCTTTAGGACCACCCAGAATGATCTCTGTGTGTGTGTGTGTCTGCCCTTCCATGACTGTTCATCACTCTCCATGTCTCTCTGTGTTTGCCTCTTTCTCTGTGTCGTCTCTCTGCCTGTCTCTGTCTGTGTTTGTCTCTCTCCGTGTCTCTCTGTATCTCCCATTCGCTGTGTCCCTCTCCGTGCCTGTCTCTCTCTCTGGGCCTCGTGTAGGTTGACTCAACCTTAAAATAAAAACGTGGGTTGACAAAGCTCAAGCAAGCATCGCAAATGCACAATATGCACATATACATTTATCGTATTATTGTAAAGTTCACCACTGACAAATACTGCTCGACCTAATAAAGGCCACTGGCAGCCTATAGCTTGGGAAACAGACGAAATTCACGCTCGTTCGGGCTCATCAGTGAGTCGAGCCGTCTAGGCTGTCGGGAAGGCACAGTGTTGTAGGTGAGGACGTCACCACTTCATCACGGAGCCCCAAAAGGATTAGGCAGGAAATGGAAATACATTTCAGTAAATATCTATATGTCAATGCTGTTTCAGTGAGCAGCAGACATGAATACGACTGTAATGCCATCCTGCAGGCCTGTTGGCCAGAATGCAAAGCGGCGAAGAATAATTCAGAGAGTGCATCCTATTCCAGAGCCAAGTGTCAACGCATCGATTCAAATCGATGGTTGTGCTCACTGTACATGAAACGAATTTTGCGAGTGACAGTCATCGCGTATTGCCTTCACGATCTGTGTAAAATGATATTCTCGTGTGAAAGTGAAGCGCGTGGAGTGCACGATTTCGAAACGATAACAGGAGAGTGAAAATGAGACAAATACGTGAAACAAAATAAAAAAAAAATCGAATCACAACTCCAAATCGTCACAATTCATCGGATGACATGTGCGATGATACTATTCACCGCATGATACTCAAATACTGTCCCACACCACAATTACAACCATATGACATGTTCTATATGACTATTCACGCGCATACTATTCACTGCAGGATGTGTTCCACCCCAGGTATGGTGTCCGATCGCTTCTCGTTATTAACAACAAACTCAACACATTCATCAAAGTATGACAAAAAAATCGGTTTTACCCTTTTTGGAAATTAAACAGGAGGTGTTAAGATGTTCAAACACCAAGTAGAAACCTTTTTTCAAGGACTCAAGTTACTGCATTAACCAAACGAACGTGTTCTGATTCTATTCGCTCGCATTGTCTTTGAAACTAATTGGCCTACACTCATCAACACCACACTGCCTTAAAAGAAAAGAAACATGAACACTCAGTATAAAATCGGCGGCATTTCAGGCAATGGCACTTCTTCATCGCATTCCTCAGCAAGGGCTATTGCCTGAAACGTCGCCGGTTACATATTGTTTTATTTCAAGGCAGCGTTGCTGATGGGTTTGTTGAGTCTCTTTTGTTAGAAGTGCCTGTGCACCGCTGCCAACGCAGCAGCATCGCCACCCAACACGAATCGCCTTCTCTTTGTGTCTGCACAGTCGCCCCGAGGCTGGGCGACACGCGCTCGCTCGCTCGTCATCAGTGGCAGCCAACGCCCGTATGCAGGGTGCTCCAAAAAAATGTTAACGTTTACATGGGACTATCGTTTTTAATGGAAAAAGAATTAATAATAATACTACACTGTAACGTGATAACAGATGTGATGTTAATAGTAAAAATAAAACATAATAAAATAATATATTTCATTATGTTTTTTTTTATTTCCCTTCTACGTGACTTTACCGAAAGAACCAAGAAGATGAATCCCTGCAGTCACGAAAGCTTTAAATCGAAAAATTATGTTAATAGTTTCAAAAAGTCAGTCTCCACTTGCTCGCCATCGTTGTCAACGCGTGCCTGGAATCTTCTCCAGGTGGTCTCCAGAGCCCGGAGGAGGCACATTTCTTGTGGTATCGTCGCAAATTCGCAGAAGTGTCGACATTTTGTGAAGCACCCTGCACCTGAGCACAGCTTCACGCAGGCTGGGCTTCTTGAGTGGGTGGTGGCGGTGATTTTGCTTGTACGCAACGGAGATTTTTGTCTGGAAGGGCGCGGGAGGAGACCACGGACCTCTGAACGCACAGCGACACGCGTCGTGTTTCCAGCCGGCGAGACGTGGGTCTCTGGGGGGTTGGAGGCAGAAGGAACTCGGCGCTGATGGGGGGGGGGGCCGTGGGGGGGCGGTGGGGGGGCCGTGTTTAGAGAGAGAGCGAGCGGCTGTGCCGAGTCCGATTGTGCGGCGGCTTGCTCGTCACGCAGCCTCGGGCAACGCAGCTCGCCGCCGTAAATCACAGCCCCGAGACCGGCTCAGTGCCCTGCCTGAAGCCGCCTGCCCAGATGCTGCAGCAGATAGAGACAAAGATCTCCCCCCCCGCCACCCCCCCGTGTAGACACACAGCCCAGTGGGAGCAAGGGCTGTTCTCAAGCACCATTCAGTCAGGCTGACACGGCGCAGAATGGGGGTGATGATGGGGGCCAGCACCACTCCCGGCCACCTTTGTATCTTCCCCAGTGCTTACTGAAAAGGGAGCAATTAAAGGCTGAGTCTATCTAGGGGAGGCCCAGGAAATGATTCAGATATCGCTCGCCACAAACGTTGGCTGTGGTCTGGAATCGAACTCACGTTGCCTGGTTCGTTGGGCATTGTTTTAACCCACTGCACCACCACTCCCCAACAAATGTTCACCAAAACATGCTTCTCTTTGGCAGTGATAAGTGAGAATTATTTTAATTGTGCCGGGCTTCCTCATCGGTGTGACCACGTTCAGCAAACAAACACATCAAGCACGTCGGTGGCCTGGATTTTATTGCAGTGGCTTAACCACCACACCACCACCGGTCCTGTACCGATAGTATTGTTGAACAAAGACAAAGATCCCCCCTGTAGCCTTCAACAGACTGTTGGGGCACGACACACGAGGGGGTGGGTGGCCAGCACCACGCCCGACCACCTTTGTGACCCCAGCGGCGATGTTTACACAGTGCACCATGTACTCATTTGAGGCTGAGTCGACCTAGGCGAGGCCCAGGACCAGTTCAGATAATCATCGCTGGTGGTCGCCGCGAGCGGGAATTGAACTCGTGGCGCGAGGTTCGTAGCGCAGCGCGCTAACCGCTGCGCCACCACTCCCCTAGCACACACACACACAGGCATGCACTGACGTACACGTGGACGTGTGTTTGGCTGTGTGCATAATCGTATATCTTGTTTGGAAATAAAAAAAAATTGCGGGAAATTATGACACGAAGAGATGGAATCCCGCTGTTGTCTCTTCTCTTCTTGCGACGTGCGGGCAGCACGGGGCTCTAAGCAGCATCGCGCGCGTGAGGAACGGGAAGAGACATTCACTCCGAGTAATGCCGAGCCCTGGTGTGTCCTCGCACAGACCGTCTCTGCTTAGCAATTGCTCGCGCACACTGCCGTGCACCACCACTGCGTCACGCACGACTGTGGCCTGCACGCGCATTAACTATAAACACGACCAACATCATCTACGTGGTCATCGTCATTATCGTTCACATCGTCGTAATCATCATCGTCAATTTTTACATCGCATCTTTCACAGGCAGCACGTTGCAAGCCGCAGCGCTGTTAATAATTGCCGTGGGATATTTCGATGCGAGAGACGCAATGATTGAACCCGTGCTCATCGGTTCGATGTGAACCGCCACGATTCACGATCTGATTTCACCGTCCGTCTCGTTTGTGTTTTTCCCGTGTTCCTTCCGTCTCAGTTGTTCACCCCACGAGCAACATGAGCACAATAATTTGCACGAATTATAAATCTTTTTTTTCCCACGCGCATGAATCTACGCAGGTGTTGTGAGCGTGACAGCCAAGTACAATCGACCAATCAGCGCCTTGACACGTTCCCATGACACACGCATTACGAGTGTAACACGTGCCCATGTCACACGCACTACCAGAGTGACACGTTCCCATGACGCACGCATTACGAGTGTGACGCGTGCTGCGTGTCACACTCACTACGAGAATGACACGTGCTGCGTGACGCACGCATTACGAGAGTGACACGTGCTGCGTGTCACACGCACTACGAGTGTGACGCGTGCTGCGTGTCACACGCACTACGAGAGTGACACGTGCTGCGTGACGCACGCATTACGAGAGTGACACGTGCTGCGTGTCACACGCACTACGAGAGTGACACGTGCTGCGTGACGCACGCACTACGAGAGTGACACGTGCCCATGTGACACGCACTACCAGAGTGACACGTTCCCATGACACACGCATTACAAGTGTAACACGTGCCCATGTCACATGCACTACCAGAGTGACACGTTCCCATGACGCACGCATTACGAGTGTGACGCGTGCTGCGTGTCACACGCACTACCAGAGTGACACGTGCTGCGTGTCACACGCACTACGAGTGTGACACGTGCTGCGTGTCACACGCACTACGAGTGTGACACGTGCTGCGTGTCACACGCACTACGAGAGTGACACGTGCTGCGTGACGCACGCATTACGAGAGTGACACGTGCCCATGTGACACGCACTACCAGAGTGACACGTTCCCATGACGCACGCATTACGAGTGTGACGCGTGCTGCGTGACACACGCACTACGAGAGTGACACGTGCTGCGTGACGCACGCATTACGAGAGTGACGCGTGCTGCGTGACACACGCACTACGAGAGTGACACGTGCTGCGTGACGCACGCATTACGAGTGTGACGCGTGCTGCGTGACACACGCACTACGAGAGTGACACGTGCTGCGTGACGCACGCATTACGAGAGTGACACGTGCTGCGTGTCACACGCACTACGAGAGTGACACGTGCTGCGTGACGCACGCATTACGA